ATAACAAATATATTATTGTGATAATATATAAAATAAAATCATATAATAATATTATTATTTATTTTGTTGTATATTTATATAATTTTTATACTTTGGGAATACAATTGCATACGGTGTGAAACATTACTGATTTGTTTATCATTTTCATTTCATTCTGAAACTCATGCTTCCTAGATTAACATCCTTACAATTACAAAACCCTTGTCTATATGAGCCAACTAAATAAAGTTGGTGACATATTTACTTCACAGAATAAACATTTCATAAAGCACAAACAACCAAATGCTCATGTTCAAGGCATTAAAAAACAATCCATAAATGTATGATTATTGCAACAGAAAACTTGCACTGGCATGACAGTTTCCATCAACTGGCCGATAATTCTGTCACTCTGACCCTTGTGTAGAGTTCAGATAATTAACCTTCCCAAAGACTGCAGTGCGAGAAAGAAGAAAACTGTTACTAAGCTGATTCCTATAAAGCACATCCTGATGAGTCACTGACCTTTTTTCCTCTTTGTTTTGCCCCTTGCCCAGGTGCTGCCTGCTAACCCAGAGGAGTCATGGCAGGTGTACAGCTCAGCTCAAGACAGTGAGGGCAGGTGTGTGTGCACTGTTGTGGCTCCTCAGCAGACCATGTGTTCACGGGATGCCAGGACCAAACAACTGAGACAGCTCCTGGAAAAAGTAACCTTTGAAAATAATCCACACACATATCTACACAAAGACCTACTGACAGAATGCATAAATCTTTTCAGCAAGACAAAAGGTCACTCAACACAGCTTATTCTTCTTCTCTTATGTTCTCTTTCTGTCTCTCAGGTTCAGAATATGACTCAGTCCATCCAGAATCTTGACCAGAGGACCCAGAAAGACCTGCAGTATGTGCAAAGAATGGAGGTGCAGTTGAGAGGCCTGGAATCCAAGTTCAAACAGGTGGAGGAAAGCCACAAGCAGAATATCGCCAAGCAATACAAGGTGCGTACAAATACATGAGCTCATCCAGATCAGTGTGCTTATTCCATTGTCAATGTCATATTTCATTTGTGACCGGGTACAACATGTCTCATTTACCAAAAGGTTAACTCACTTATTTAATTGAGCTCCCAATTACGTTAACAAATCAATCTTTGAGAAAACTAGTGAGCATATTCATTTTCTGTACATTTTCAAGCCAAGTGAGCTCAGAATATTTGTTATGAATGATTTTGTCCTCCTGAGTGGACGCCACGGGCATTTTCCCCACAAGAAGTGAATTACAAAACATGATTCATTTTGGCGACATAGCATCTTTTCCATCTTAGCTATTGTTAGCTGTCTGACATCAGTTGCATCTGCATGCTAATGAGGCTGTTGCTATTTTGCTAAATGGAGGCGCAGTGATTTTGTTGCACATTGCAATTTGTAGTGTGTGTATCGAGCTCCCAAAGCGGCATAGATTTTATAGATCAGTCTAGCACTGTCTCTTAGCTCTTTTGGCATCATCTAGCCCTTCAAAGTCTTTTAAACAAAAATAGTGTATTGAGCATTTTGTTCTAATCAAACTGAATGTTACGGTCAGGAATGTGGCACCTCTTGTTCATTTACCAAGTAAGAAAACTACTCAAAACATTTTATGGCTTGACCTTTAAACATTTATTACATGAAGCCATCAAATATTTGGATGCAGTCGCTGGAAAAGGTCATCTTATACACCATCATATGATCTTTATACCCACATGGGAGTCCACATGATGAATGTTTTCAGAAGTTCAGGTATACACAGAGCATATACAAACATGGCATTTTAGCCGAAATAGGAATACATATAGAATTTGACGGAATTATGGGACAAAGGAAGTTTTCTTTGTTTGAACAAGGGGGATTTAAGGCTTATTGATCCCAGTACAATATAATATCATGTAAGCCTTTCATATATTTGGAATCATTAATTTGTATTATTATTAATATTATTATTACTAGTTTTATTCAACAATTAAATTGATCAAAAGTGACAGTAAAGACATTTATAATTTTACAGAAGACTTCTATTTCAATAAATGCTGTCTTTTGAACTTTCTGTTAATGAAAGAATCCTGAAAAAAATGTCTAACAGTTTCCACAAAAATATTAAGCAACCACTCTTTTCAACATTGATAATAAAAATAAAGGTTTCTTGAGCACCAAATCAGTATATTAGAATAATTTCATATTAGAATGATTTCTCATGTGACACTAAAGACTGGAGTAATTCAGGTTTGCCATCATAAAAATTATTTTAAATTGTAACAATATTTATAATTTGTTCCCACAACTTATTCATTTGTTCATGTGTACTAGTAAATCGTGACCACATACCACATAATAATTCATTTGTGTTTTAATTATATCAAAATGAGGGAACAAATTAGTACAACACAGCTACGATTTACTAAAATGTGGGAACAAATTAAGTTTTGGGAACTAATTTTTTATTTGTGGCCTCAATTTAAGTCAAACAAGAAAATGGAGTAATAAAACAAGGGAACAAATTCTTAATTCTTGGCCACAATAAATATGTTTTTTTTTTCTGCATGTCATGTGCAGAGCTACGTACATAAGATAATTCTTTAAAAAATATTTTAAAAATCTTACTGGCCCTAGACTTTTGAACGGTAGTGTATGTATAGTTTTAATAACTTGCTATTAATATTATGTTCTTTCTTCATCTATGTCCTGATTTATGTGGTTTAAACATGGCAGAATCCATCATGATTATTTGCACTTGTGCAAATAATTTCAAGCATGTGTTTGTGTGTTAGTTCATCCTATCAAATTATTTTAAAAATAAAATGCTGCATTATTTCTGTACAAAAAGCTGTATCTGTGAAAATGTATGTGTTAGAAAGGCTAGCGAGTTAGTTATTCAACCAAATTTCATTTTCTTGCTTGCAGGGCTAACTTTATGAATTAAATCAAAGCTGCAGAGACTGAAGAACAAGTTCAATGCCATTGTAATCAACTGGTCAACTGATCGCATCATTCAGTTTATTTTAAATACAAAGCACCTTTGAATTGTGTTTGCAGTCTTTTTGTGCATGCCACTATTGCAGCCTTCCATGACTAGATTTTCTTATGTTATGACATCTCCATGTCTATAATTCAGATTTGTTTATGCACATTTGGATATTTCGAAACAAGGGAAACTATTGTTGTATGTGAAGCATGTAACCCTCGACACCTTGCATTTTAAAAATTGAAAAATAAAGAGAGTTTTTTTCAAATTTTTGCTGGTGTACTGAGAACTTGTTTTATACCACATTGAACTCTACATCTATTTGCTAGGCACACTCATAGAGTGAATTATGGTAGAGTAGGCAGAGAGGGCAAGTGTAGGGCAAGACAGGTGTTTGGACGCAATCGTTGCACGCATGCCTACTGAACCAAGCCTATTTTAACCTTTCAGGCCATAAAAACGAAAATGGAGGAACTTAGGCCAATGATACCAGTGTTGGAGGAATACAAGGCCGATGCAAAATTGGTAATGCAGTTTAAAGAGGAGGTCAAGAATCTGACATCAGTGCTAAGTGAACTGCAGGAGGAAATCGGGGCCTTTGACTACGAGGAGCTTCACAACAGGGTGTCTAATCTTGAGGAGAGGCTTCGTGCATGCATGCAAAAATTAGGTAGGATGAGTTTGAACACAAACACAAACAAATTTTATATTTCATTTCAAAATATTATATATGACAGTGCACAAGAAAATCTTTTTTTTTTTTTGTAACACACTTTAGTATGCAATATAATTTTTTACTAGTTCATATTTTTTGAATAACAAAAATAGGCCAGAAAAAGACACTCTAAAAATATATTGGTGTTGCTTTTATACAGTTATATCAGGAAATTAAAGACTGCACAAATAAAGGCACACTTCACTTTTTTTTCTTATTAAAATAATAATTCACCAAAAATGAAAATTTGCTGAAAATTTACTCACCCAAGATGTAGATGGATTTCTTTCTTCATCAAAACAGATTTGGAGAAATTTGGCATTATGTCACTTGCTCACCAATGGATCCTCTGCAGTGAATGGGTGCCGTCAGAGTGAGAGTCCAAACAGCTGATTAAAACATCACTATAATCCACACAACTCCAGTCCATCAGTTAACATCTTGTGAAGTGAAAAGCTGTGTGTTTTTAATAAACAAATTCATCATTAATGTTTTTTGTGCTTTAAACTGTTGTTTTTGGCCAAATATGAGTCCATAATCTATAATAATGCTTCCTCCAGTGAAAAGGTCCATCCTGTTGTCCTCTGACATCAAAATCCACCAACATATTATATAACTGTTTTCCCTTCAAACGGTGTTTGATCTGTGCATGTTTCTCTCCTGATTCAGATGAGACAACTTTTTTTTCTTTTTTTTTTACTGAAGAAGGCAATATGGATAAAGGACTTAGTTTAGCCGGAAATGACTGTTTGAAGTTAAAAATGTCTTAATAAAGAATTTGTTTATTAAAAACACACAGCTTTTCACTTCACAAGACATTAATTAATGGACTGGATTCGTGTGGATTACTTGTGGATTATTGTGATGTTTTTTGGATCAGTTCTTTGGACTCACTCTGATGGCAGCCATTCACTGCAGAGGATCCATGAGCAAGTGACATAATGCCAAATTTCTCCAAATCTGTTCCGATGAAGAAACAAACTCATCTACGTCTTGGAGAGTAAATTTTCAGCAAATGTTCATTCAAAAAAAAAATGGCACATTCATGGCACATTTGAAATAGCTAACATAGTGTAGCCTCAATATTTATTGAAATTGCAAATTCAAGGATGCTTCTCATTAAACACATTAGTCCTAACTCTATGAATGATGATTGAGCAAAAATACAAAACACTGTAATTTATTGTGCAGCTTGGAGGCATTAGCATGCTGAATTTAAACAACACAAAATATACACCGGTCTTCCTTTATCCCTGTCATTTTCCCTGTTTGAAATGCTGTATCTCAGCATAGCTAATCTGATACAGATAGTAGCAGCAGATTCAGATGTTGCCTTATTCTGAAGTGAGGAATGGATTTCATATGGAAGTTAGACACAGACATGACTAATGAGAAGCTGCTGTGCTGTTCTCTCCTCTAACAAATGCCTTTGGGTCCACCTGAGCCATGGCATGAATTCATAGCAACTTTACAGGTTAATTAAATAACATGATCAAAATTCAGTATGACAGGGCACAGTCTCTGACACATCTCTGATTTATAAACAAATCCTCAGTTGAAAGAACATCATACGATTTTATCCAAAAGCAAAATGCACATTTTCACAGAAATCTTAAAGGGGTCATATGATGCGATTTCATTTTTTCCTTTCTCTTTAGAATGTTACAAGCTCTTGGTGCATAAAGAAGATCTGTAAAGTTGCAAAGACTAAAGTCTCAAATACAAAGAGATATTCTTTATAAAAGTTAAGAGTTAGCCACACCTACCTAAAACGGCTCGTTCGAACACGCCCCCACATATCTACCTCACTATGTGGGAAGATTTGCATAATCGTATGACCATTCATACATTGGAATATAGGTCAGAAGCTCTGTGTAACAATAGAGAATTGCTCTTGCTTCTTTTTGGAGCATTTATTTTAGATTCAGACGAATAACAGATTTAGTACGCATGCATAATGCAAATGCAGCCTTACTTTGATTGATTAAAGGAGGACACCATGCTGGGTTTTGGTGCTTAACAATAAATACAAAAAAAAAAAGAGCTGCAGTTTTAAGTTTTCCACTGAGCCAAAAGCTACATGCAGTGATAAAGAGAGCCATCTAAATATGATCATGGGATTCTATTGAAAGATCACTGCTCTCAGTACTGTAATCTCCTGGCTGCATGAATTTTTGATGCTGCATTTCGCAAGGGATTTAAATCACTGGGTGGGAGAAAAACACTGATGATTTGTTCACCGGTATAAATAACGTGGACTTCATTCATAGTTAGTATTACATTCATAGTTAATAGAGTTTTGAGAGAAGCCTGAACAAATTAGTTTGTGATTGTTGTCCATAAAATTTCAAGCAGTTTCAACTGTGTCCTGTGATGTGCCACAATTTTTGTCCAGTTATTCTGTAATTATTATACAGTAAAACAGTAATACTGTGAAATATTGCATGTTATATGCTCAAGTAACATTAATTCTTATCAATGTTTTAAACAGCTGTGCTCTTTAATAGTTTTTGTGAAAACCGTGATACATTTCTGAGATTCTTTGATGAATAGAAAGTTCAAAGTACAGCATTTATTTGAATTAAAAAAAAAACAATATTTAAAAGTCTTCACTGTCACTTTTGATCAATTTAATGCATCCTTGCAGCATAAAAATAGTTGCATAAATATCTTTAAAAAAAAAAAGCGATATTTCTGACCCCAAACTTTTGAATGATAGTGTATATTGATATATTTGCATACATTCATGTAAAATTTAATCTAAAATCTTGATTTAAAAAGGCAACAACCATTTACAATTCCATTTATTTTCTTGGAAAGCTGCATATGTTATGTTGTAAAAGACAAATTCAGTTGATAGCTAAGGATAAAAATCACAAAGAGTCAAAGCAAAGAGTTATCCATACATTAAGGTGAGTATTGGGTTTCTGCTAAGCTTCTCTAACAAATTATTCCCTTACGCATAGCACAGTAGATTTTGCGAAAGAAAAGAAGGGATGGGTTGGCAACATTTAATGCCATGACATTATGCAAATATCTGAGAAAATTACATAAACGTGTTATCTATGCAACAGTAGTCACACATTAGCGATGTATGGCTGTGAACTCAGTGTTACTTGCTGTATATTTCAACATAATTGCATCAGCTGTCAGTGTCAGAAGCATAGATCCTAGCCTTCAGTCCACTGTATATTCAGTTGTACAGTGGTGTATAAAGTACCTGAAAGCCATACTCAAGTAAAAGTACAGATATCTTACCAGAAAATGACTATTATAAGTATTATTACTTCGTTACATTACACCACTGCAGTTGTACGACTGCTTTACGATCCTAGAAAAGGTTATGCACTACGTTATCACATAAATACACTAATAGAACTGCAATTTATCGCCTGTAACAGACTATTTAGCTAACATTTGGCCATCAAGTCTGGTGTAAAGACTGACCACCTGTGCCGAGACAACAATCAGGCTGGTAACTGTGAATATTATGTGCCATAGAATCTCTGTATGTAGGTTTTGTCTGCAGAAGTATGTCTGAAACGGAGAATTGGGTGAATAAATTGCAACTCATTCAATCCCAAAAGGATTATGGAATTGCACAGGTCAATATTAGCAGATTATGAGTAATCATATACGTATGAGGTCAGTCTGTTCAAGGGCTTTGCACTCTAATGTAGGGTATATCAGTATTATTTGATAGCAGTAATGTTATGCCAAAGCTTCTGTTTAAAAAAAAATAGCTCAGTGATTTGTAATTTGAAATAAGAGTGCAATATAAAATAAATATGTGATAATGGGCAGTCAGCCGGTCATGATCACAAAATAAACTCAGATGTAAAGCAGAAAGTTCTTATATCATCCTGAAAGGGTTTATTTTACAATGACTGGCTGACTCACCAAATAAATAAATATATGAACATGAAATATTGATTTGAGTTTTTTATCATGTGAGAAGAAAGAGAGCGCAGAGGGAAATGAGAGACTTAAAAACAGCATGGAGACTGGTTGCCAGGGACAATGTCAGATATACAGTTTCACGTCATTATGACCGCAGAATTCCATGATTGACCAATCAGAATCAAGTATTCTGGAGAGCCGTGTAATGACACCAGATAGCCAGGTCAGTGAAATACAAAACAGTTCTTTCTCCAGAACTGGCTCCGGTGAGGTTTTACATAAACCAGCACGATGATCGCATTTCAGCGCCAAGAATAGAATATTGGAAAAATATCATGGGAAACAGAGGAGTATCTATAAATGTACATTTCGTTTAAAAGCAGTTGCTTTGCCCCATGCAGTGGACTGCCAGAACAGCAAAAAAAGTGAGAGAAAGGGAAACAGCATCAGTTCTCCGAAAGACATAAAGTGACAGAATAATAGAGAAAAAGCAGTTCAGAAAGAAGTATAAATGAGAGTAGAACACACTTCTTTGTGTATGAGGACTCTTACAACACTGCAGATGACGATACAAGTTATGCTCCAGTGCGTCTGTCTGACACTGTGTCAAAACAGAGCGTATGAGAGGTTCACTGATGCCTGCAAACTTCTGCCTGAGTGCCTAACACATGCCAGAATATGACAGGAACTCCAACGCCTCCCCCATCCACCACGTGCCCATTTACCAGTGCAAAACATTGAAGTTTAACAGCATATCACTCACTCATTAGAAAGCAAAGGAGCAGCATGTTAAAGGAAATGGAAGAATTCACCAGAAATGAATTTGTCATCATTTACTCACCCTCACACCATTATAAATCCATATTATTCTTTTTTTTCTTAGAGATGTCAGGCGGGATGTTCATGTTGCTCTTTTCTACACAATGAAAGTGAATGGTGACCAGACTACTGCAATTACAGTAGTCCATATGACTCGTGCACTATTCCAAGTTATTCTTGTGATTTGAATATGCATATTCAAATGTGGCACATCACAAACAATTGTGAGACACATGAGAACAAATGACATTTGGTATCATCAATGCTAAACCTGGTGTGATACATCTCAATGTGCAACACAATAAGTGAATAACTTATTTTCGGGGGGGTTCTCCACAAAGCTGTTATGTGGTTCAAGTCTTATGGACTAATTTTAGGTTGATTTTATTGTGCATGACAGCCCCTGGTCACCATTCACTTTCATTATATGGAAGAGAGCAGCATGAACATTCTTCAAAATATCTCTTTTAATGTTTTATGGAATAAGAAAGTTGAACATGAGTTTGAGGAAATGATGACAATAAAATGTTGAGTTTTACTTGTTACCATGTTTTACTGTCATCAGCTTGTGGGAAGCTGACAGGAATAAGTGATGCTATAACCATAAAGACATCTGGATCAAGATATGGATCCTGGATGACTGATCCGCTTGCCCCTGACGGTGATACGAGGGTGAGTTCATCAAATCTTTACTGTCTTAGCTGAATTCCTCTGGATTGTGTGTGTAAGAGAAAAACAGCTTTAATCACTTCACACCCCTCATTTTAATCACAACTGCTTTTGTTTTTAAAATGTATTTGACTTCGTCTTGTCAGCACTCTTTTTGTCCCTGCAGTATATTTTCTCCTAAACATGCCAAGAGTGTGGTTTATTAAATTACTGGCACACATTAAGATGCAAATGATAGGTGTAAATCTTGCAAGATTTCATTAGTGTGGCAGCAAAGTCATTCCCAGTAAGAGCTGAATGATGTCTGTTCATTCCTCCGCCAGTATTTCCCGCACACAAATGCTGGTATATTTCTGTTGGTTTCATATCTTTGTTTTCAGACAAACTTTAGTATTCTGTGCTAAAAAGCAAAATCTTGTACAACTGTTTTAGCAGGGGCCTTTGTCTTTCTCCAATTTCTTGAACAAATCTAACACATCCATCTTGGTTAGATGTCAGTAGTGAGTAAGCTGCTTGACAACTAATCCATGATCCCATCATATATTAATGCAACAACTTCAAAGAGGATGGCTGAAGGTGAAGCGGTGGAGTTTTTAGCTCCTTTGAGATGGATCGATCCAGTAGAAAAGCCCAGAAACAGAAAGGCATCTGGCCTGCAGATCTGTCTGAGCCTTAAATGACTGATGATGGGTCAGAGAGTTGCGCTTGCGTGAAGCCTCTGATAGCCTTAGTATTTATTTTAACAGTGAATATACACTTAAAAGGGTCAAACAGTGTAAAAACATGCTTTTTTATGAATTGGGTTTTATGAAATCAGTTCAGAGCAAGGATAGGATAATAGGCAAGTAAAAGAATACATTTAATACATCAGTACCAAAGACTGAGATTGCATGCTGACCTTGACTGTGAAGGGATCAATGACATAAAAGAGCATCCACAGTAAAGAAAAGGAAAAAAATCGCTTGTGCCAAGTGAATGTCATGTGGTGTATCAAGTAAAAGTAATAACATATTTTCCTTTCAATGAATACATGTTTGCACACATTTAATCATAATTTTTTTTAAATAAATGTAAATATATTTAAATATACTTCAAGGTATTGTCAAGGTACTTTTCAATATCATGAATTATTAATTGATAAATATCATAACATTTTTGGAGAGTCACAACACATGACATTTTACAACCAGAACTAACTTTGCCTCATCATTTGTTTTGTTTTGGTCACACCACTTGACTTTTATTTGGTGGACAGACGTTTTTCAAATTTTAATAAGCAGTGAAGCAGTTTAATTATTTTATTCTACAAAATAATAATGAAAAATTATACTAAACTGCTTAATAAGGTATTCTTTAAGAATTTCATTCTTCTATTGAGTCTTTTCTTCTTCTTCATGATATCAGGACAGTTGTATCACTCTGACATGTTTTTTATTTTTTATTTTTTGACTGTATGCCCCCAAAAATATCAAAAACATTTTAGATGTACTTTTGAAAAAAACAAACAAAGACCATTTTCGGTAGCACTTTATTTTCTTGTCCCGTTCCACATGTACATAATACATATAATAACTAGGTACTAAATGTGAACCTACCCTTAACCCTCGTGAACCTACTATAACCTTAACCCATGTAGTTACCTTATATTTCCCTGTATTTTCTTAGGTAAATACATGCAAGTGCACATACCGTAAAATAAAGTGCAGCTCCATTTTCATTTGCAATGTAAAGCGTATAAACGCTGATGTGCATTCATTTTTCCACCACCAGGTGTGGTACATGGACGGTTACCACAACAACCGCTTTGTCCGGGAATACAAGTCCATGGCCGACTTCATGTATTCAGACAACTTCACCTCACATCGACTTCCTCACCCCTGGTCGGGCACAGGGCAGGTGGTCTACAACGGCTCCATCTACTTCAACAAGTTCCAAAGCAACACCATCATCAAATTTGACTTCAAGACAGCCACCATCAGCAAGTCCGGTCAGTTGGATTACGCCGGCTACAACAACCGGTACCACTATTCCTGGGGTGGTCACTCCGACATTGACCTAATGGTGGACGAAGGTGGGCTTTGGGCCATCTATGCCACCAATCAAAATGCAGGGAACATTGTCATCAGCAAGATCAACCCACTTAACCTGCAGGTCATCAAAAGCTACACCACCAACCACCCAAAGAGGAGCGCAGGCGAGGCCTTCATGATCTGCGGGACGCTTTATGTCACCAACGGATACTCAGGAGGGACAAAGGTCTATTATGCTTTCCATACCAACTCCTCTACTTACGAATATATCGACATCCCCTTACAGAACAAGTATTCCCATATCTCCATGCTGGATTATAACCCTAGGGACAGAGCTCTTTACGCATGGAACAATGGACACCAGGTGCTGTATAACGTCACCTTGTTCCACGTCATTCGCTCTGAGGAACTCTAAAGTGACATTCTCCATCCCTTTGAGATATACAGTAGCACTGATGGAGTTTATTACTGAAAAATAGAGTAATGCCTGATGATTGTTCAGTAAAAGAAGACATTAAAATGTATCAAAAGTAATAGTTAATGGCAACATAATGAACAGCTGCCAAAAGGTCTTTTTTTCTTTTTTAGGCTTTTCTTAGATGACTGTGTTTGAATTATCACTGCAAAAAAATGTATTAATTAGTATTTTTGTCTTATCATCTAGTAAAAATTTTGAAACATTCTTAAAACAAGATCAATGTACTTGAGAAGCAAAATTGCGTAAAATAATGTTTCTTGTTTTTAAGCATAAATTTAACAAAATTCTGTTAGATATATTCTTAAAACACTATTACATATATATGTATATATATGTACTGTATATTATCTGAAAACAAACCCAATTTTGCTTCAAGTAAATTTATGTTGGTTTTTAGGTATATTTAGATATTTTAACTGCAAAACAAAAACACTAATTAATCAAATAATTTTTCACGGTGTTCTTAGTACTTGTACAGCTTTACGAACATGATTTAGTTACATGGTAGAAGGTAAAGAAGTGTGACGTAAGAAAGATGTCATTTAGTTACCCAGTTATGTCCTTTGTATCGAGAGCAATCAAAACTATTTAACATCAACTAAAAAACCGAAGGCACTGACTGTTGGAGGCACTCTTAAAAAACTGCAGCGTGTTGTTGTGACTGTATGTAGTTTGATTTTCGCAAAGATTTGCATGAACATTTTTAGAACTACGTTTCACATGATTGTATTATTTTTCTCACAGTAATATGAACCTTATACGTGAAAAAGAGATTAGATTAGTGATGGGTTTGCTATTCTTCTTGCCATGTTTCATTTTTGCTGTATCTTTTGTGTTCCTTTTAAAATTTGTGTTCATAAAGTGACTTAAATAGTAGGATGGATTGTAAGAAAAAGAAGCCAAGAGTATATATATATAGATATAACCTGTCAGCAAAAAAAGTGTCAAAAGACAATGTGAAAAAAAATTATTTACAAGGTATTAATCTTTGACTGTATTTCAAGACAGATCCATGTGTCAGCTGTTAGAAGAAATAGATGGCATCATCTAAAACTGTTACGCTTGCATCCGTGTTGTACTTGCAATGTGATTCATATCAATAAAGCCAGTCTTTATTTTACAGTTATTGCCTGAAGAAAATGAAATCATGTGACATACGTGCATATCAAATTACAGTCTCCAAACTATAGATCTAAATAAATAAAGAAAACAATAATCTCCTTATTTGTCTGCATAGAAAAAGATTTCTGCGGCTAATGACCCGACTCCAGCTTCCGGAGCCTCTGGAGCCAAGGGAAATGTCAAATGGGACTGAATAGTCTAAAGAAAAAAATAAGACCAGTCTAAAGGTGGATGTCATTACCACCCTATATTCTTTCTCCATGGCAACGGGGGCAGAAAGTGATGACCTCATCTGTTTGGCTGCAGTGAAAGCTGATCCGGAAGCAGTGGGACACGCACTAAAGACAGAGCAACTCATTAGCCCTCAGCTCTTCTCTAAAGGCAGTGTCAAACTGAATTGTCTGGTCTGTCTACGCTCAGCAAATGCACATTTAATTCAAGCCACTGTGACACTGGCAAACTGCTATTCAGGGAAGACATCAAGCACTAAAGGTGCTTAGATTTAATGGCATTTCTTTCTTTCATCTCAAGGTAGCCATCAGATCAGTAATCTAATTCCCCTCAACTCCTCAGTGCCATGGAGCCACCGCATAATTGAGCCCCTCTGTTACATTCTCATAGTGATCATGAAAGAGTCATCTTCTTCATTCTTTATAATTGTCTATAATGTAATGATTTCACAACAAACATATTCTAGTGTCACACTTGGAGATACAATGGATATGTAAAGGGATAGTTCACCCAAAAATGAAAATTCTACCATTTACTCACTCTCGTGTCGTGTAGTGTTGCTTTGGACGCAATTTTTTTGGACAAAAACACTTTTCTAAGTAAAATCTTTTTTTGTGTGTGTTCCACAGAGGAAAGGAAATCATACAGATTTCAAGCAATATGAGGGAAAGTAAATGATGACAGAATTTTCATTTTTGGGTGAACTATTCCTTTAATAGCATTATATATTGCAGTTTTTAACAGGCTGTTTGGCTGGGCAACGTGGCCCTGTTAGCCCCTGCTGGTAGATGGCGTGACTGGTACCATCTGGCTGCAAAAAAGCATCTTTTTCCATTGAGGGCCATTCAAAATTTCCCGTGCAGTACATTCTGATGAAGATGTTTTTGCAAGCAACATATTTCAGGTTGGAGCCTGCAGTATGAGCCTTTAATTTTCATATAGACTGAATACTTTATAGAACGTTTTAGACTTTATTTTGTTTTTGGCTTTTATTTTGTTGTTGATTTTTGTTTGTTTGTTTGTTTATGGGTACTTTGTGGAACATTTGTTTTTGTATGTTATGCTCTGTCCATAGCTTATGCATAATTATCCCCCCCCCTTCAGTT